CGGGCGCCGCGCCGGCTCCAGGCTTTTCCCGCAGCCCAGCTCCGGTTCCGGGCACGCGGTGTTTGGTGCACGGAAGCTCCGCGCCTCTTCTCTGCCGGGACGATCCCGGAGCGCAGGCTCCAGCGCAGCGTCTGAATCCGGAGTCACTTCGATTTGTCTGTCTCCGAGCAAAGAGCTGTTTGCCTCTCTAGGCATCTACGTACTGCTGTACATCTGTCCTGTAACCCACTGGTTTTTTAAGACCCTTGGCAATGGGTTTGAATATACTTTTTTTGAAAGTGACTAGATTCCTTTCTAACCATTTCATGTGCTCAAGGTGCCTTGTCTTGGATCCTGCTCGGCCCCTATTATGTATTTGTGTTTAAAAACATAAAAGGGGGGGAGGTACTTGGAATGACCCTGGAAAAATTTGCAGTTTATCATCATAAATGGATGGAGTAGGCTGCGGGGTTCCCTCTCCCCCTTTCCCATGCCATGTTAGCTGTTGGATATCAAGATACTAGCTTTGGGTGTGGGTCAAAAAATAGTGAATTGTGAACGAAGAGATGTAAGGAATTACAGGAGCTGGTTAGTTTAACAAAACCTTGTGAAAGTAGCTCCTGAAGTAGTGGGGGACGGGGGTGGAATAGGCAGTTTTGGGGAGAGGGTTTGGTTTTGTTTGTTGGGGGGTTTTTGAGACCAGGTACTCTGAAGTGGTTCTGGTGATCCAAGGAATGGACTGGGCTCCCAAGGGAGGTGGTGCTCTCCCCTACCCTGGGGGTCTTCAAGAGGAGGTTAGATAGGCATCTAGCTGGGGTCATCTAGACCCAGCACGCTTTCCTGCCTATGCAGGGGGTCGGACTCGATGATCTATTGAGGTCCCTTCCGACCCTAACATCTATTAATCTAAGGGTAGCAGGCTAAGTGACTGGGCTGATTAAGTGACTTCACAACAAAGAGAATCTTTCATACAACAGCTGTTGCTTTATCTACGCCCTTCAGTGCAATTCATGTGCCCCTGGAAGAGCAAAGTCCTCACGCATCATGTTAGTATAGAATTCCAGGAAGAATACCAATATTATAAAGAGTATAAGTCCTCTTCTGTAATGTCTAAATAGGTTTCTATCTTCCATGTTCAGCTATATGCTGAAAATTTGGGACAAGCATGTTTTGTTTTTCATATAGCAAGAAGTTGAAATCTTATTTTAAGGGCAAAATAGAATCTAGACTTATCTCTGGCATTACTAGGGTTTACCACAGTATGGTGCCTGAATAAAATAAATCCCAGAATTGTTCCGCAAACCTTACAACTGACATGTTATCTATAAATCCTGGCTGTAACAGCCCTGTAAAAGATACCATGTACTGGGGCTCAGTAAAACCTCTCAAACCAGTTTCAAAATAATTACTTTTTCAACTTTCAAATATTGACAGGTGGTGATCTTCCAAAATCAACCGATAGCCTGGATGCAAACCATCTACAGAAACTTATTCAACTGCTACAGTCTACAGATGATCCATTGATTCAAGAGCAAATATTGGTGACTTTGAGCAACAGTGCTGCCTTCTCTGTAAATCAAGTAAGTATTGTTCTGAAGAAACAATTGCATTTCAAAACTAGCCCATGTGGAAGATGAGAACCCTCATTTGTAAATGTGTAAGCATGGGACTAGAGCTTTTTGCTAATCTTGGTTTAAAAACTGTGACCATGTGCAGGTTGTTTAATCTTGCCTCAGTTCTCCATCTATATAGTGAGTATAATTTACCCACTGTAGGGTAAATTACCCTACCCATTTCTAAGACCTGTGAGACTGTCTCCCATTTATACATTTCAATGTTTTACATGTATGTGGGACATCTTTAATATAAAATAGGAGCAAAAAGAAAGAGAAATATAAAAAACAAAAATCATACATAGCAGTCTAGGAGGGGTTTTTTATAATATTATGGATTCTTGTACAAAAAAAAAAGCCCTGTGGATGCACAAGTCGCTGCTTTTGCATTTATGGTGACTAAACTGGGAGGTTATGTAATCTGCATGGTCACATAAATAGGGTTGACATAAGCAAAAACCTACTGTACTTAATATGGTTGTTGTGATCCAACTCTGTTGTACAGTTTCATATTTTCAAAGCACCCTATGTGTGCATTACTGCTAAATTTTATATAACATCATCTGACAGGTTTAATCTGAGAGATGCTGAGTTTCTGCAGTTTTCAGAACTGGACCTGAAACTTGCGTTAACAATCTAATCTGTATTTGTCTTCATAATGTTCTGATATTTGCACCATGTACGATCACAAATCAGTGCCTACCAGTGAATCTACTATTCCATTTGGTTGGGAATTTGAGGAGTTTCTTTGGGAGATGTATTTTATTCCTGGAATCTGTAACAACTTAAACTGCAAACTCCTATACCTTTTTTTTTCTTTAGATGCTTCTCGTAATTGTAACAATATCGTCTCAGCTACACTCAGTAGGCAGTATCTCAGTAGGATGATGGGAATGTGAAGAATTTGAGACTTTATTTTGAATCTTATTTTAAAATGTGATGGCTCTTTCTGGAGCATAGAAAGAGACAGATTTTTTTTTTTTTTACTTTGAACTTTCATATCCCAGGTAAAAGGAAGCTAAATTTTAGACCTGTTAATAATAATAATAATAATAGCTGTGCGGGCCAGCTCCCGATCTCGGGGGCGAGCCGGGCCCGTCTTCGTGCACACAGGCTGTGGCCAGCAGCCCGGGCACGCGGGGCCGGAGAAAACCGCAGTGCGGTATAGTACGCTCGAGCTAGAATCAGTCACAGAGGCGTAATGGTTGTTTGAAAAGATTATTTACTTACACCCAAGGTGGTCGCGGTGTAGGCTGGTCAGCTTTCCAGGCACAGCTCCGCTTGAGATCTCGTTGGAGGACTGTGATAGACTCAGTTCCTTGACCCCGGAGTGGTTTAGGCTCCGCGGGTTCAACAATTCTTTTTCACGGAGCAGCTGTATCTCCGTGTGTTCTGTTCGGTTCCCAGGTCCCCCGGAGTTGTTAAGACTCCGTGGGTTCGAAAATTGGGCTCGGTTCCCAGGTCCCCCGGAGATGTTAAGACTCCGTGGGTTTGAAAATTGGGTCCATAGGATAGGGATACGTCTAGGGTTGCGGTCGGCGACGGGGAGAGGCTAGAGGTTATGGGCCCCGGAGTTGTTAAGGTTCCGAGGGTTCGGTAAATAGGTCCCCCGGAGTTGTTGAAGCTCCGTGGGTTCGACAAATTAAACCTCTGTTGCCCTCTTAAGGAAAAAGCTGGGTT